GGTGCCGCGCTGCGGGGGCTGCTCAGCTCTGTGACGCCAGGGAAACGAGCTTGAAGATCATCTAGTTCCAAACCCCTGCTGTGGGCAGAGACACCTGCCACCGGACCAGCTTGCTCAAAGCCCTATCCCTATCCCTGGCCTCGAACACTTCCAGGGATGGGGCATCCACAGCTTCTCTGGGCAGCATGTGCCAGTGCCTCACCATCCTCACAGTAAAGAATTTCTTCCTTATATCTAATCCAAATCTCAGTGGCTTGTGTGAGCATAAAGCTACTTTTTTTCTTTTTTTTTTTTTTTTATGAAATACATACAAGTCTAATATTAATGATGAATTAACTTCTTTGGTTCACCAGGAAAGTACAGGGATATGATGTTTGTATCTAATATCTCAGAGTTATCTCCTTTTCTGGGCAACCTGTGCCAATGACTGGCACCCCTCACAGTAAAGAATTTCTTCTTAATATCTAATTTAAACCTGTCCTCTTTTAGTTTGAAACCCTTGACACATGTCCTGTCACTGTTGGCTCGTTTAAAAAGTCTCTGTCTTTTCACAAGCCCCCTCAAGGTGCTGGAAGGCCGCAGTGAGGTTTCCCTCTAAGCCTTCTCCTGACTGAATGTGTCCAGCTCTCTCAGCCTTTGTAGGAGAGGTGCTCCAGCCCTTTGATCATCTTTGTGGCCTCCCCTGGACTTGCTCCAACAGTTCCACAGCCTTCTTGTGTTGAGTTCCCCAGGGCTGGGCACAGCACTCCAGGTGGGATATCACAAGAGCAGAGCAGAGAGGCAGAATCACTTCCCTCACCCTGCTGCCCATGCTGCTTTTGCTGTAGCTCAGGACAAATTGGCTTTCTGGGCTTTCCATACTGCCAGGTTGTGTTCAGCTTTTTATACATGAGAGCCCCCAAGTCATTCTCCTCAGAGCTGCTCTCAGTAAGTTCCTCTTCCAGTCTGTGCTCATATATGGGATTGCCCCAGCAGATACAGCCCCCTGCACTTGTTGAACTTCACGAGGTTCTCATGGGCCCACGAATCAACAGCTCCCGGGTTGCCGAGATACAGACATTGGAAACAAACCCCAACAATAGCAACAAAGAGCTGTCAGTAAGGGAGAGGAGCCGCAGATCGGCGCCTTCTCTGCAGGGATGTTTTTGTTAAACGCTAACAGTGTCACACGCAGGCTGAGGATGGCAAATGCTCCTTGAGCAGCACACAGTTCTTTCCATCCACAAAAGCTTCCCTGGCGGCGCAGAAAGGCTGAATGCCCCAGGGTGCTGATTTTCCACTTCAGACAAACAGCGAGATGGCAAACTGGGTGTTTGGAAGCTGTGATTTCTGTCAGCCGGAGCCAGCAGCTGAACTCGGTAGGTTTCAGCAAGACAGAGAGCTGCTCATCAGGGATGCTCTCCCGGTTTGCCGTCGGAGGGCAGCAGCCTACAGCCGGATCGGCTGGCAACGGGACTCTGTTCTGATCAGTTCCTCCTTCTGCTCTGTTTTATTCTCATTTGTAGCAATTCAGTGCAGGACAGCCACTGCTCTATGCTCTCAGCTGGCTATTCTACAGCTTTTGCACGCACACAACCCACACATCTCGATATTATCAGTCCATTTGTCTGGGTGAGGGTCTGCAGCAGGGATTACTTCCATGCTGCCATACTCTGCAAGGATGCTGTGGGGTAGAAGGGTCTCCTCTGAAACAGATGAAAATAGGAAAGGCAAGTGGATGTGCACCACCAAGAGAAAAGTGTTGAAACCAATGAGATGGTTGGAAAGAGGGGAAATAACATGACACATCCTCTGCCTGGTGTTGGGACCATCCATCTATCATCCCTGCCTCTGCATCCATGAGCACACCCCCCTCACAGCTCTGTTCTGCTTCACCTCAGGGGGTAAGAGGGGAGTATTGCTGGGAAGCAGAACTGGCTCTGATCCCTCTCTTACCCCACTGGTGAGACAAAGTGCAAGATACAGTTTGGGAGGCAAAGGTGAGTGAGATTCAACAGCCTGGAGTGGGGCAGAAGACACCTTGCATCTAGAAGATGCTGTTAATCATAATTTTGTCCTCTAATTGTGGCTGGTATTGTACATATTTAGGAATATGAGACCTCCACAGTGTCTCTTACTCAGGTCAGTGTGCTCTGACTCTTCTGCATTACAAGGCCAGGCTGTGCCACTGCTGGCTACTCAGTGGGCTCTTTTGCTTCAGCATCATGCTAGCAAACATCTCTAAGGATTTCACTCTCATTTGCTAAAGGTACCTTGCAGGTAGGAGGTTGTAATCCAGCAGCTCTCCAGAGTTGCTTAAGCTCTTTATGGGAAACACAGAGAGAAGGACTGGTGCATTCTACACAGTTTTGAACTGACTGGAGCTTAGGAGCTTAGCTGTGCTTCATAAACATACAGAGACAAAGCAGGGAGCAGGTGAATAATGCCAGTGCAGATCAACAACAACAGTACAATAGATTCTGTATTCCCCATACAAAAGAATTCACTGAGGCAGGCATCCTGGAAAGCTTTCTTCCTCCTAAGGTACCTATCACAGTTTGCTTTCCAACTAGATAAGCACATTTGCAGAAAATTAGATTACCTTCCAAATAAACATGCAGGGTGGGGTATGGGAGCCTGGGGTAGGATAGGTCAGCACTCTGCATGATTAATTTACTTACATCACGCTCAGATAAATCTTACTAAATTAAATTTAGATGGAGTATGGGCTGTGGACAGGCAGACTTTGAAGCTGTGGTTGACATGATGTTGA